ATACCTGCGATATAAATTCCGGGCGAAATTCACTCGCCCGCACGAACGGCGCCACTCGCGGTTGTTGCACCCCTCCTCACTAGGGGGCGCCAGCGGGCGCAGGGAGGACTAGCCGGCTGCAGACGCGCCTCTCTGTCCGTCCGCGCTCTCCTCGGTTGTTTTGAAGCTGTCCGTGTGGACTTGATTTCGTGCGGGCGTGGTCGCGATGCTGCTTTTCTGAGTTTTTAATACATTTTAACAGGAAGAAATTATTTATTCCGACTTCTTGAGAAGCGAAGAGAAGCAGTGCTTGTGAAATACCATATCAGCCTCCCAGTTTCACGAATGAACGGTGCGGAGATGTCTCATTCAGTAAGTTCAGTACGTGATTTGTGCTCCTGTCTAGAGTCGAGGTGTCTTGTAACTAACTGGGAATCTTTACAGTCTTGCAGATATTTCAGTGTATTTCCATGTAAAGAGAACGAGAACGGAATCTTTTTTCCCTTTATAATGGGTGTGAAATTCCACCCATCTCTTATTCCTTCTTGATATTTACAAATTCTTATACCTGGGTATGGTGCCACTTTCTCTAGAGGCCTATTATCAGTTGTTCCTAAATCAGAGTCTTTGAGTAAATAGTTCACATGTTTTAAAATGTAAACCTTTTTTAAACCAGTTTAAAAATAAACCTGAAATAGATGAAAACACGTTTAAACCTTCAACTGCATCATACAGCTCTCTTCTGTTCTTAAGAAAAACAGTAGTATTATCTGCTTGCTGAAGTTTTTACATTTCTCTACCTGAAATGTTTATACCTTTCACAGTGCCGCTGTTGATATGGAGAGCCAAAGTCTGAGTTACTAATAAAACCAGAAAAGGTTCTCGGATGCCTCTCTAATTGTAAATCTCTGAAACGTCCCTTTGAATAGTCTTACCGAGTGGCAGCCGAATGGCATTCTTGTGTTTTTCCTGATTCACGAAGCCCGACCTGCGTACAGTAACACCCTGAGCTCCTGTTCCTTTCTCGATTCAGAGTGCGGCAGCTCATCTTCTTAAGCCACTTCCTGGAGCTCTGTGAGAGCTGGAGAAGATTAAAAAGTGATTAAATTACTGATCAAGTGACAGAATGGACACGCTGTGAGCACTGGTCACTATGAGGACACATACACCAGTGTGTTAAACCAGTTAACTGCACGGTACAGACAGTGAGCACTGGTCACTATGAGCACATAGAGTGACTTTTCTTTTCTTCAAGTTTAAAGCTGTTTCTTTGTTGGGTTATCGCTGTAAAGCTGATGGTGTAGGA